GTTGCCTGCCCCGATGAGCTCAGGGGCTGAGCTGTGAACCATCCTCCCTCCTTCCCTCCCCCTGTGTCCCCAAATTAAAGACAAGGGAACCCAGCCCTGCTTGGAGCAACCTCGGATGGTTTGTCCTGGGTGCTGGGAGGTGCTAGGCTGCCCTTTCCTGGCACCGTGTAGCCCTGGTGCAGTGCTTGGCACAGCACGGGGAGCACCCAGTGCTGCACTGTGCCATGGGCTCTTGTTGTGCTGAGCACCCGTAGGAAAGCCAAGCTGGTGGCTTTGCCTGGTTATTTTTAGGTGCTTTAGGGCTGTTCCAGAGGGCTTCTAAATAGTTTTATTATGTGAGCTCCTGCCCTGTGCCTCTTCCCAGCTCTGCCTGGTCCCATCTCTGCAAACTGGTCTTTAAAAATCTGGTGGGTGGCTGTGGGGGGGCTGTCTGCAGGGGCCCCCGTGCTGGGCAGAACCTGCTCACAACTGCCATGGTGAGAGGTGGCTGAGGGCTCGGCTGGTCTGCACCCTCTGCTTGTCTGAACAGGAGCAGCAAAGTGCTGAGCTGTGGGTTCCTCACCGGGTGCCTTTCATCTCGCGTGGGGGGGAGGGCAGGAGCCATCGGCTCCCTCTGCTGTGGGCTGTGTGGGATTGGTGCTGAGCTGGGGTCTGCCGTGCTGTTCGGCGCAGGAGGGTGCTGTGGTGACCTGCCCTCTGCCAGAGAGGTGACTTCTCCCCTCCCTGCCCTGCAGAGCAGCCATGGAGGTGATGAACATGATGGAGCAGCCAATCAAGGTGACAGAGTGGCAGGAAACCTACACCTACGACTCAGGCATCCACTCCGGCGTCAACACCCAGGTGCCCTCTGTCAGCAGCAAGTGCCTTGCGGATGATGACGAGGTCTATGGGAAGCAGTACACCATCAAGAAGACGACCACGACGAGCTACTGCCAGGGAGGAAGCCAGGGCCAGAACCAAGCACAAGGTAGGGCCTGTAGGGCTGGGCACATCTGTGAGCTTGGCTGCTCAGCTCCTGCCTTCCTCTGCCTCCCCCATGAGCCGTGCTCCCTCTGGGCACTGCTCCACACCATCTTTCACACCCTGGGAGTCGTTGCTGCCTAAAATACGCTCCCTTCTGTCCTCCTTCCCTGCGCCCAGGGGCTCTCGCCTAGGGGCGGCGCGCAGCCAGCTCACCCTGGTGCTGTGCACACACATCCCAGCGTGCTGGTGGGTTGGATCGAGAAAGGAACAGCTGATCCCAGCCCACAGATTGGCCGTCTGCCCTGCCTGCCTGTCTGCCTGCTTGAGAAGCCTGTCAGCATGGCTGGCAGCTGCCAGCGTGTGCCTGAAAGCCTGGCTGGCTGGCCTTCTCTTCTGCTGCTGCTGGGAGGGCAAAGCAGGTGGAGACACAGCCCCTAAAGCCAAAGGAGGTGGATGCCTCCCCCTGGCTTGATCCCTTCAAGAGGAGTGGTTTGTTCCTTAGCTGCTGCTGCAGCATCTCTGCCCCTCAGGTTGTGCTGGTCCCGGCGTCCTGGACAGGGAAAGCCTCCGCGTCCCTCTAATCCCCTGTGTCAGCTGATTCCAAATTGCAAATATCCTTAATTTTTTAATTAATAGGCCTTGTGTGACAACTGCCTGATCATGCTGCCTAATTGAGTGTTGTCTTATCTCTCTGCTGCCATATCTGCTCACACTTTGAAGTGCCGGCTCCTTGCAGCGTGTGCTGGGGCTGCTGACGCTGCCGGCGCCGCGGTGCTGAGCTCTGGCTCAGCTGATCCACCCGGGAAGCGGGGCTGGGGGTGCTCCTTGGGGGCACCCAAAGTCTCACGCTGCCTTGTCTCCCCCCGCAGCTGACATGGAGGCCCAGCTGGCCATGACCCGGGCCCAGCGTGTCCGGGCTGCCATGTACCCTGAGACGGTGGAGGACCGGTCCCTGCTCATCAGCACCCAGCTGGAGGGGCAGCAGACCAACGTGCAGCGCCTGGCAGAGCCCTCCCAGATGCTGAAATCAGCCATTGTGCACCTCATCAACTACCAGGACGATGCTGAGCTGGCCACCCGTGCCATCCCTGAGCTCACCAAGCTGCTCAACGATGAGGACCCGGTAAGGAACTGTGGTTTGCTTGCGAGTATCTCTGGGTGTTCAACTTCCAGGCTTGTGGGACACACTTCCACAGCTCCTGCTGCATGACCAGGCTCCTGTCCTTGGGCTCTGTGGCCACCATCCTGTGCCACGATGTGTGGCAGCCTCTGCCTGGCTCTCACCCAGCAGAGTGGGATCCCTCCTGTCCCTGCTGCGATGGCAGCAGTGGGACTCCCTCCCACCCGCCGGCTCATCTCCCCGCAGGTGGTTGTCAGCAAGGCGGCCATGATTGTGAACCAGCTCTCCAAGAAGGAGGCCTCGCGCCGCGCCCTGATGCAGTCACCGCAGATCGTGGCGGCCGTGGTGCGCACCATGCAGAGCACCAGCGACCTGGACACAGCCCGCTGCACCACCAGCATCCTGCACAACCTCTCGCACCACCGCGAGGGCCTGCTCTCCATCTTCAAGTCCGGTGGCATCCCGGCCCTGGTCAGGATGCTGAGGTACAGGGGTGCTGCCGGGGGTCCCAAGAGGCTGGCAGAGCTGAGTGGTCCCCCCAGCCAGGCAGCTGCCCAGGGGCAGAGCAGG